AGAGTCGTCAGGTTCTTCTTTTTCTATTATATATATTTTAGAAATACTTTTTTTTTTCCTTGTTGTGTGTCTGCAAGTTGGATCTGACTGGCACAGAAGGAGACTGTCCCTCCTTCTCCAGCAAAGCATCTCGTGCATTTGAATCACGCACCTTTGGGATTGCTGTGCAGCTTCTTGCCACTAGGCCCCCAGAAGTCCCTATGTTGTTGTTGTTAAGTGCCATCGAGTCGCAGGTGACTCATAGCGACCCTATGAATGAAAGTCCTGGACATCTCCTGTATAACTTTCGTCCTTTCTCCAGGTTCATAGGGTTTCCAGAGGCAAGCTATTGTGGAATTGGATGCCACTTCTGCTTCCAAGCTTGTTTTAATTGGGGAGCTCCACCAAACACAGTCTACCATGGGTAGCCCTTCTCACATTTGACTCATCAGTGTCACAGTGTTTGGCTTTACCACGAGTTACCTCTGTACAGCAAGTGGACATATCAGGGTTACACGACCTAGAAGAATGTTTCACCAAAAACAATTAAAGGCAGGCCTGAGGGCCGCGGAGTGGAGTCACCCACTTTTGGTTTGTGAGCATGGCTTTCTGTCCGCTAGGCCAACTGTGCTTGCTCTCGCTCTCTCTCTCTCTCTCTCTCTCGCTGCTGCTGCTGCTGGTGTTAAGTGCCGTCGAGTCACAGGCGACTCATAGCGACCCTACGAACAAAAGTCCTGGACACCTCCTGTATAACTTTTGTCCTTTCAAAGTAGAGCCTATTTTAATGAGAAGAGTGGGGTAATAACAAAGCTTTTACCCCATGGAACACTTTCATTTGCCAATGAGGCAAGACTCAAAATGAGGGAAGAAATCCCTATGGTAGCTTTATTTTTAATAGCAAAAAAAGACTAGAAGGAGTCCAGATGTCCTTCAATAAAATTAATGGTTAAACTGATATAAGAGCATCATGGAATACCATTCAACAATAAAAAGAGATAAACTACTTATATACATAATCATTAGATAATAATACACGGGGGAAAATAATGAAAGAAATATCCTATATTATTTCATTTCTAATATTCTTGAAATGACAAAATTAAAGAAATGGAGACCAGACTAGTGGTTAACAGAGATTAAGGTGGAAGTAAGGGCAGAAACCCAGGAAGGAGCCTTGGTGGCATAATAAGTAAGCACATCAAACTCACTTGTGGTCCTGCAGGAAAAACATATGGATCTTGTTTCTGTTAAGATTGTTGTTGTTAGGTGCCATCAAGTGGACTAAGACTTACAGTGATCCTATGAATGATAGATCTGAATGCTGCCCTATCCTGTGCCATCCTCACTGTAAAGATCAGAGTCTTGGAAACCCTATCGGGAGATTCTATTCTGTCTTACTAGATTGTTATTGATCAGATTTTACTCAATAGCCACAGGTTAGCTTTTGGTTTTTGAAGGTATGAGGACAGATACATAAAAGAGCAAGATGAGGGATATGTGTAGTGACGGAAATGTTTGAATCTTGACTGAAGAAATTTCAATACTCTGGTTGTGATACTGTTCCATAGTTTCTTAGATATTACCATTGGGACAACTGGGTAAAAGATATTTCTTACAAATACATGTGAATCTACAACTATCTTAAAGTTTAACTATAAATAATAAACTATGACATGAAAATGGCACAGAAGTAGACAACAGACACATCAATAGAACACAGAAGATTCTAGCCTACATAAGAATTTAGTAGATGATAAAGCAATTGTTTCTTCCTTTTGTCCTTCTAGCTCCCCTCTCTATCCTTCCTACCTTACTGTAGGCTCCAGGAAGAAAGCTGATCTCTATGGACAGCAACAACTAGAATCCTTGTCCTCTAATTTTTAGATGGATTTGGCCAATGGAAGCTACAGACAGGGCTGTAGAAAGTAGGAAAAACAGAAAGAATGTTTATTTACTTCCATTTCTTCCCTGCTGAGCCACAGTCTGAGAAACTACATTTCCATACCCAAGGGAATTTCTACACATTCCTGTCAAGCAGCCCTACTCTTTAGGAATAGGTTTTTATGGGTTTTACTTCCTCCTCTTGGTAACAAAATAGACATTTAAATGTAGGCATGCTTACTTTGAGTTTTTCATTTTACCCCATTAATTCATTTTCTCAATAAAGTTTTTATTAACTGTCTAGTATGTGTAAGATACTAAGGTGAATTCTAAATATGAAATAGTGTAACAAAGCATACCTACTGCTCACTCTAGGAAGCTGTATCATCCTTGTTTATTTCTTTTTACTTGCCTACATTTTTCTAAATTGTCTCTTCCTAAAGCTTCCTTCAGTTATCCTTGGACGTGTCATCTACTTTTCATCAGGGCACTGATGTACTAACAAATGACAAAATCTGGAAAGCTAAAATTTTAAGCACCATGGTTTTAATGCTGTTTCTTGATCACTGTACATACAGAAATCTAGAGCTTAAGTGATGTGAAAGAGAAGTGGCTGGGGGTTTTTTGGTAAATGTTAATGTAATAAAAATCTCTTTACAAAGGATAGAAAGACATTATTAAACATATAAATCTAGACTAATTTGTCAAATTAATAAATTATAACTACATTTATGTCTATGTAATGAAAGTTTTTCTACTTACCTGAGGGTCCACTAACCACCCATGGTATAAAGGAATATCAAGAAGGTCAAATACTATGCATTCTGGGGTATATTCAAATACTCGAACACCAGTAAATTTTACATTTACATCCAGACCTGTTTGTAGTTTGTGCAAAATTGCCATAGCATCACTCATATTCTGAAAATCAAGAAAGAGATCAGAAAATTCATAACAATACAAACAATATTTAAGAACAAGCATACTTATTTCTAAGTTTTCATTTGATCCAAATTATTGGTATAATTCATAACATGTCAGGCTGCTAACCAAAACAGTAGTAGTTCAAATCCATCTGTTGCTCCATGGGAGAATAATGGGCAATCTCTTCCCAAAAGATTACGAACTCAGCAATCCAATGGAAGGTTGCTATGAGTCAGAACCAACTGAAAGGCAGAGAGAATTCATTTTAACAAATTTTATTAAGTACTCATTATGTGGTTGCATTACCTGAGTTCAACAGATAAGTTCTCAGGAACTTATGTTCAACTGGAAAAGAACTTAACAGTACACAGTATCAAGTATTGGTTAAAAAAAAATAGAACATAAAAAATAAACATAATGAAGGCATACAAAGTGACAGGGATAAAAGACTGAACTTAGACTCAACTAAAAAATTCACTGCTGTTAAGTCAATTCCAACTTGACCCTCTGCTGAGGCTCTAAATCCTAGTGGGAACATATTCCTCATATTTCTCCTTTAGAACTGCTAAAGTATTCAAAAGACCAGAGATGCAGCCTAACATTATTTAACAAAAATAAAATGGGTGCAGGTTAGCAGAATTAACATCCTATGGCCTATGCCTCCACAGTGCCTTGATTTCAAACCTAAAGTCGAAAGTCTAGCTAGAGAAAAGTGTTTTTTTAAATTGACACTTAAATAAAAACCAAAAAGAAACACTGAACTCAAGGGGAAATATCATTCCAGACAAAGTAGATACCTGGGCAAATGGTCTGATGCAAAAGAAAATTTAGTAGTGTGTTTTTGGAGCAAGGAGCTCAATATTACTTGATTAGAACAAATGAAGTGAAAAATAAAAGAAGTATGAGACAGAAGCTGGATCACAAAGCATTGGTCAAATTAAGGCATCATCCTGCACACATGAATTTTCTCAAAAGATATGTAATAAAATCTCTTTTTTAATAAAAATCTATTTAAAAATATGTTTTAGCATATTATATATTTAGTCAAATATTTACTAGAACAAGTAAAAATCAATAAAAGAAATTTCATGAACTTTTGAATCTCTGCCGTTGGCCACTGTATTAAGAGTTTAGAATGTACTAAAGTGGTACACAGTAGAAAGGTTAAACAAGAAATAAAACCTCATTAAAATGAGGAGACTTGTTTTAAAATTTTATTTTTTTTTTTATTTTATTATTTTTGTGTGTGTGTACCATCAAATCAGATCTGACTGGAGGAGATTGCCCCTCCTTCCCCGGCAGAGCATCTGGTGGATTCAAACCATGCACCTCTGGGACTGTAGTTGCAGCTTCTTGCCACTAGGCCACCAGAGCTCCCCTTGACTTGTTTTAAAATTATACAGACAACTTTAAGTCCTATAAATACAATTCTATTTAAAAAGAAAAAACCTTACTTTCTGGAAACAGAAATTATTAAAATGTTATAAATTCACAAGTAATATATTTATAATAGTTTTCATGCAGTCTTTAATCTTTGTCAATGTTTTCTGTTCCAAGTACCATTCCTTCAAAATAGTGCATTTTCTCAACCTTCCCAAAAGATGGAACTCTCAAAAAGAAAACTAGTATTTTTCCATGAGTTTAATTTTTTTTTCTTCCTAATGCCACAGGAATGATGAATCTATAAAACAGTTAACAATGGTCATCAATCTGAGAATTATGGCTTTGTGACCACCACTTTTAAACATTTATCTGACCTTTGTTAAATTCTTGGTTGTCAATTATTCAATTTCTTTCAGTGTCAGTGTAAGTTCTCAACCTTACGTTTGTATATATCTACTACATTTATCATAGATTATATATGTGTCGGAGACAGTGAGATTGGCTCAGAAGAGAACAGAGTTCAGAGCTATTGTACATAGAGTCACTATTAGTTGCAGGCAACTTGATGGCACATAACAACAACAAAGTATAAATTATATAGTTTTAAAATAACAAAATTAACATATTTTTCTATTATCTTGTTCCTAAATGGAAAATAAAATATATAGGATGACAGTTTCTTTAAGTCAGTAGTTAAATTGTTTTCAAATTCTTCAGAATCAAATGTGGTAAAACATTTTAAACTTAAATAAAAAAAAAACCATAGGTCAGCAGTCATTTAAAAACCTATCATACATATTATATTTTCTTGGGTGGCCAAAGCATCTATGATTAGATAAACTAGGAAAAAAATATTTGTTGTTTACAACTTTTACTAAAGTGATTTTAATTAGGAAATCTGCAATCCACATTCACTGGTCTTTCTAAAATTTGGCTTAAATATATCTTCTTCTCTCATAAATGAACTTTGAGACTGCAGCTATCATCCACGATCTTCAAATTAAAATTTTTGCATCAGTCCAGGGAGTTCACTAATTTCAATAAGAAATTATATAAATTTGCTAAGTTATTTTTTCTGTTGTTGTTGTTGTTAAGTGCCGTCGAGTCGCTTGCGACTCATAGCGACCCTATGTACAACAGCCCTAAACTCCGCTCTGTCCTGTGCCAATCGCACTGTCCGACACTCTCATTCCA